GGGAAAAAAAAAAAAAAAAAAAAAAAAAAAAAAAGTAAAAACAGGCTGGGTGTGGTGGGGCATGCCTGTAATCCCAGCTACTCAGCAGGAGGATCGCTTGCAGTTCCAGGCGTCTGGGCTGCACGGTGAGTTCAAGGCCGGCCTGGACTACATAGCAAGACCTTGTTTCAAAAGAAAAAAGAAGAATCACCACTGTGGGCAGCGAATGATGTGTCAGTCACGCTTGACTGACGAGGGCCCCTGTCACTAGGCACCCCCAATGCCAGCCGTGTCACCTCGCCAGGGGAGTCCCCCTGGCCCTGCGGGTGGTTGCACAGCCTGTGCGGCTCCTGCTCCGCACATGCTCTCTGTATACCAGCGGCAGGAGAGGCCAGGACCCAGTGTTCTCCCTGATAAACCACGTGACAAGGTGACAAACTGGCCTAGAAGGGCTTCTGCCCACGGGCCACACCTGGTCTGGGAAACCATCTTCAACAGGAGCCTTCGGGTACTGCAGCTTTTCTGCCTAGAAGCCCATGGTGGAACTGATCTTCTGGGACGCGGGTGAAGTCTTTTTTCAATCAGCAATTTATTTTTTCCTGGTTGCTCTTCAAATACTGGGTTGTTTCGCTTTGGGGGGGGGTTGTTTTTGAGACAGGGCCTCACTATGTAGTTGAATTCACTCTGTAGCTCAGGTTGGCCTCAAACTTGTGGCGATCCTCCTGCCTCAGCCTCCTCAATGCTGGGGTTGTAGGGGTGTGCTACTATGCCCAGCTTCGAATAGTTATGCAGTTCTTTGCTCTCTAGGTAATAAACATTGCACGAAATAAGCAAGAACTGTACGTCTAGGAGGTCTGGGTTCCCTTTCCTAATATTTTTTCTAGACTATTAGTTCTTTTTGATATTCATTCTTTGACTTCCCTGACCTCCAAGAGATACAGAACTGTTCTGACGTTTTTCTTCAGCCGAAGAACTGAAGGTGTCTGCACAGGCTGGCTAGGCTCTTGGACACAGTCACAGATGCCACAGCTATCCAGAGCAGGGCTGCCTGGCCGTTCACAGGGACACCTAGGCGGTCGGACACACAGAGCTCGGGCCACCCGACCGTCTCCGACAAGCCTCTCACCATGTGAAGCGGGAGCAAAAATGCATTGATTGTTTAAAGTTTAGGTCTTTATTACAGTAAAAGCGTTAGGATTCCCGAGTCCTCTCCTCGCTTCACACAGTCTCCCATCGTCCTCGGCCCTCTCTGCAGCAGCTCCGGCACCCTCACTCCTGAGGGGCTTTGTTTGCACTGTCCTGGCCACCTAGATCCTGAATGGATTCAAAATGTCCCCCTTTCCTGGTCTTTTTGGCTGTGTCAGGAGTCACAGGTGAGGCACAGCGCCTCAGGGGCTGGACCCGGTGAGTCAGGTGGAGAGGAGAGAACACATCTGATGTTTCTACTTGAAAGAAACTGCAGCTGCTGCCGTAGTGGTGGGAAGGGTGGGGTGAGTGTGTTCCAAGTGAGGGGAGATTTCAGGGGAGTGCGACGGTGCTGTGTCCTTTATCGCATGACATCTTTTCATTTAAACATTTGTTTAATCACGCCTCATGCTTTCCAAAGCACTCACCGTTCCCAAGGACAACGCCTGACCGGCATCTGAAACACGCCGGCCATTGTGTACTCGCTCGTGTTTACAAACCACAAACCCAGCGGCCTCCTCTGGGAAGGCTTCCCCGCACCTGGCCCCAAGGCCACCACCGTGCTCTGGACCCGGTCTGTGTGACCAGGGACACAGGGGTCAGGCCGGCTGGACCGCGGGGGCTGCTAGGGGCCCCACATGGAAAGCACCTGCAGCAGTGCTCACAGCCTCGGCCCGCGTACCTGTGAGGTCCTTCTCCCGGAACTGGACGACGGGCAGGACCATGGTGTCCGCCAGCTGCCTGGCCAGCTCCGTATGGAGGACATTAAGCTGCAAGACAAAGAACACTCCTGAGGTCGGGCCATGCCACACGCTCGCTATGGCTGAACGGCTCCGCTACTTCCTCGGCAGAGAGAGACCTTCCTAAAGAGGCACCAGACACAGGTCAGGGGTGCCCAAGACGGGACACAGGCTGGGCGTGGGGACACACACCAGTCATCCCGGCACTCGGAGGCTGAGGCAGGAGGGTTGCAAGTGTGAGCTGAACCTGGGCCACTTGGTAACTTAGCAAGACTTCCTCTCTCAAAAGAAAAACGACTAAGGTTGGAAACGTCGACCCGAGTCTTGGGCTCCATTCACAGTACTGAACAAAAAAGAAAGAAGAACGGCCGGGTTCCAGATGACGGGATGATGGCGAAGCTCGCTCACAAGCACCGCCTCCAAATGCCTTTGTTTACGTGCAAACCAAACCGGCTGTATTCTCAGCGCCACCCAGCCCGAAAGCCCGCTGCAGTCTGCTGGCAGTGCCGGCCCCTCAGGCTGCTGTCTTGGGAGAGGCCAAGGCTCAACGTGGTCCCAGGCTTGGCTTCTTGCAGTTTTCCAGCCCACCTCACAGGCCGACTGCAAACACTTCTCAGGGGGAATCACTGTCGCCGGCTGCTACTGCTGGGCCAGGTGGCTGTCGTCCCCTCTGTGGGCAGCACGCACTCCAAGCTCCACAGCACAGGTGCAGGGGTCTCAAGTCCACGTGAGCAGATGGAGCTCTGGCCCAGAGGCGGGGCGGCAGTGGGGACGTGACGGGACATCGCCCAGGGCTGGGCCCGCGTTTGCACCACACTGCCCGCTGGGAGTGGCCACACAGAGCCAATGAGGTCTCCGTGCTCCAGGGCCTTCTTGTGCCATCCTGTCTGTGTGGCCCAGTGGGCACGGGGGAGAAGCCGGAGCAGAGCGTGGCACACCTGGGAACCCCGTCCCTGCCGCCGCCTACCCCGATCTGCTTTGAGAAGTGACCCCAAGCCATTGCTTTTGGGGAGCTCAGGGCTCCCACACCCCAATCTATCCCAGCAGTCGAGCACTTGTGCGTCTCTGTTCCTGACAGTTGGCCTTTGGAGCTGGTTCCTGGCACAGAGCTCGAGATGCCCTGGGGAGTCCCCTGTCCTAGGAAGGCAGCCCTGGGGCTCCAGGATGGGCACTGGTCCCCAGCAGACCGAGCCGTGACTGCAGAGCGAGCTCTTTCAGCCCAGCCTCGCATCTGTACCGGGTCTGAAGAGCCCCGATTCCGCCCTGGCAGCTAACTGGCACCTGAAGCTGGGCAGTCTTGGGGGACTGAGCCCCAAGCCCAGGCACCTCTGGTTTCCACTGTAGGCGGTGTCGGAATGGGGCCACAGTGGTGACCAGTGCTGTGAGAACACAGCAGGAGGAAACAACTGGTCACCTTCCTACTACTAGTGGGACAGAAGACAAAGCTCAGGAAAAACTGGGTGGCGTATCTGTTCTTCTAGCTCCACACCCGGAGTCTGAATAATGGCAGGTGGCCAGTGTTTGTTGAATGAATAGTGGCTCGCTGAACTTATTTGCTGAATGAATGAAAATACAGTGCATATGGCTTTACATGAATGCTGGCATCTCATTTTTGTAAACTAAACAAGACAGTCCTGTGGTACCTGCATTTTCTTTTCTACTCTGTTATGATTTTCTATTCTGAGAACATACTGCAAACTCCTTGAAACACTCTTACCTACTGAATTCTGCAGTGTTCTGTCAGACCAGTAGAATTTGAGCTCTCATGACTTTTACAATTAGGAAGTACACAGGCTTCCTGTAACAATCACAGCCTTTCCGATATCGCACCTGTCACACCGTGCAGCTACAAGAAACTGTATACCCCCGACAGTGGGTGGGGCCGTGGGCCCAAGATAATGTCCCCCAAGACACGTGGGTCCCTGGGAGCGGGGCCTTCGCAGACACAACGAAGGGTTGTCAGTGAAGTCGTCCTGAATTTTTAGAGTGGACCCTGAATCCGCGTCAGGAGCCCTTATGGAGGAGTCGACACAGACAGAGTAAGGGGCCAGTGATTTAGCTCAGTGGTGCTACCACCTGCCTTGAAAGCGGGGGAGAAAAGGTCCTGAGTTCAATTCCAGTACAAAAAAAAAAAGTTTCACAGACAGAGTAAGAAAAATTCAGGGGCAGGTATCCCAGTGAGGTCAGGGTCAGAGGCCACGGAGCCACCAAAAGGGGTCACGCGTGTGGCTGCAGACCTCGCCTCCAGCACGGGAGAGACGACCCTGGCCGCGTGACTTCCTCTGGCACCCACCCTGCCGGCCCCTCAGACAGACACGGGCCGTGTGCGGCTGTTGGGGCAGGAGCCTGGTGACAGCGATGCCTGCACACAACCCCAGCATTCACTGGGCATCTAGTGGTGGAGAGAGGGCCGGAATTGGGCGGCAAATGCAACTCCAGTCGGACGGAAACTCTGTGCAGCTCTTACCTCTTCCACCACCTTGGAAAAACTGTGCAGGGTGGAGATGACTTCTTCATCACCTCTGCCAAGGGCAAAGTTCTAAGACGAGGATGAAAGGGCCAGTGTCACCTGAACGCAGAGCTGGGCACTGGGCATCTGCCAGCCAGCCCTGCACCCCACCCCCCGTCCTCCCCCATGCCCAGGTCCACAGGGGAGGAGGAGGCAAGTGTCCCACTTGGTTACCTGCTTCTCATACGCCAGCAGCTGCCTGGAAAGTTGCTGTGTGGCCAGGCACATTTCATTCTGCGGGGAGAAGAGACAAAGCAAGGCGCCCAAGTCACGCAGGAAGCCCCTCTGAGAGCGTCCCTAGAAGTGTGCGCCCGCGAGACGGCGAAACACATCTGGCATCGCTTAGAAAACAAGGCCGAGACAGACTACAGGGCGAGAGCCAGGTCACACCTTGGGCCTCTCCGCAGGCCAGAGGGGAGCTGTGTCGCCCCCTCCAATGCCCCAAGGAGCAGCCAGGGCAGCACAAGGTCAGGCGACGTCTGTGGTGTCACCTCCCGCTCGGGCACCGGGGAAGGCAGGGTGGGGACGAACTGTGGGACGCGCCCTGACACAGACAGACACAGTGGCTCAGCGCAGAGCAGGCGGCACTCGGCAAGCACTGGACAGATGAGTGAGTGAGTGACAGATGCCTCTCCCTCCCTTTACGGTCTGTCTAAGTTCCAAGTGCAGAACGATCCCAGTGGGATCCTCACTGACAGGGAGACGAAATACCACGGCTGAGTGGGAGCCGTGACTGACGTGTCCCCGCCTCGGGCTGTGTCGTCACCGTGCACGAAGAGGCTCCAGCTGCTCGCCTGCTGCTCTGCGCCATCACCGAGTCCCCTCTTCCTCCCGTGTGAGCAGTGCGGGGTCAGAGGGATTTGCTCATGACCTTGGCACCTGCCTGAGGACGCTGCCTGTGCGGGGTCCGCTGCCACCCACACGGCTCTGACGCAGCAGGTTCTGACGGCTAACTTGAAACTGAGGCACAGGGAGGAGAGGTCATCATCCAGCCAGGAGTGACGGGTCTGCCTGATGCTAAACTCCACACCCTGAGATGCGAGCTGATTAGAGGTGAGGCTTGTGTGGGGCCTGGGGAGGAGAGCTGCTCAGGGCACGGCGAACAGGAAGCCGACAGAGGAGGAGCCAGTGACCACGTCCATGCAGGCCCCCCTCCTAACAGCAAGGCGGCACTAACTGTAACCCAGTCACCGTCTGGAGGGCCTGCCTGTGATCATGTGAGGCTTTCAGGGGACATCTGGGTATAAGCTATGACACCCCACAGGCCACCTTCAGAGTCTGTGGCCAGTGCTCCCCCTGTCACGGGAAAGCCTCCCAGGACACTGTCCAACTGGATGGCCCCCAGTGCTGGCGGAGAGGCCCTCGCATGCCACTGACCCAGGGCCGCACGGTTCATGAAGTAGGGGCCACTTTCCATGACGGCCGTGTGCAGTGGGACCCTGGACCTGTCTCTGGTGAATGCCACATCTCAGAGGCCTCGGAAGGAATGCTTTTCCAGCCACAGCCCAGCAAAAGAGGTCACGTGGAGTCCGAGAGTGACACCCTCTCCACAGGGCTGGAGACAGAACCCAGGGCCTCAAGGGCCCAGCAGGAGCTGGCTGCTGAGCTACAGCCCGGAGCACACTCTGCAAGACCCCGGGACAACTCCCCGGCTCCAGCCACATGCTGGGAGTATCACCCACAGGCCCTGGGTTCTGCGTATGGCACTGCAAAGACCAAGCCAAACCACACCGAAAGGACAGCACAGCAAGCAGCAGCTCACAGACAGCAGCTCCCGGGCTGGCGAGGGCCTCTCAGGGCATCTGCCAAGGCAGAAGGGCAGGCGGCCAGCAAGGCTGAGCTCTTGGCCGGGGAGTGTTTATCTCTCCGTGGCACGAACAGCCTCCGAACTGCCACTGTCACCCAAGACACCCCAGGGCTCGTGGACAGCACCATCCTCAGCAGCCTGGGGGAGGAGACGCCCCACGGTCGGCGCCAATGTGGGCTCTGGCCTCCACCTGTGGCCGAGATGTGTCCTGGAGTCAAGGAGCCGACGGTCACTCATCAGGCGCTGCCACCTAGCTGGGCTCATGGGCCCCTCAGGGGGGGACGTCCACGTGGGGCAGCACATGTGGCTGTAGGGATGTGGAGGGGCTGGGCAGATGGACAAGCAGCTCAGATAAGCAGTGTGGCGGGAAGGAAGTGGGAGGCGGGGACAGCAGGTGACGCAGCGTCAGGAGGCCTTCGCACGCCAGCAGGTGCTGCAGTGGGCGCCCAGACAGCAGCGAGGAACACAAAGGACAGGAGAGGCCGTGTCCTGGTGTGGGTGGCTGCACGGGCGGCAGGCTGACCCGGACTGGGGTGGGGACACCGACGTGGGTGACAGCTGCGTCCCGCGTCCAGGCGGGATTCCCACATTTGTGCCCCATTCAGCACCCATCTGCCCAGCCCCAGCCCGCTCCCCAGGGACAGAGGCTTGGCGGCAGAGAGGAGAGAGCAAGCACTCAGGAGAGTGACAGGGCAGGAACACCATCAAGGAACTGCTGAGGTGATCCCCAGGGCTGGATGGAGACAAGCCAGAGAGGACAGGACCCCGGGACAGTGAGCCAAGGACCAGGCAGCACCTGGCACAGGGCAGGAGGACAACCACGAACCTGGGCAGGCAGCACAGGGCTCATCATGGGAACCAAGTGCATGTTTCCCCGGGGGCTGCTGTGCACAGGGCATGGTGGTGCAGGCCTGTAATCCCAGCACTCTGGGAGGCTGAGGCAGGAGGACTGCAAGTTCCAGCCTAGCCTGGGGAATTTAGCATTTTAGTGAGACTTTTTCTCAAAATAAAATGATGATGATGATAATAACAACAACAATAAAAAGAGCTCTGTGTAAAGGCCCTAGATTCAATCCTCAGTCTTGCAGAAAAAAAAGGAGGGGTAGGGAGGGTCAGTGGTGTGGGTGGAGACCAAACTGTCACCTGGGGCCTTTGGGAGGTGAGGAAGGCGCTCTGCCAGGGCTGAGCTTGGCTTTCCACAGGCCCCGAATGCACGGGCTCGCAGGACACACAGCAGGGTCACGCGGGGACTGCGGGGTCCAAGGTCACCACGAAAGCCTGCACCCAGGAGCAGGAGCCAGCTGGGAGCAGCCTCCGCTGTCTGAAAGCCGCCATGCGCACAGGCCGGCCCCACCGCTAAGATGCCGCAGGAAGGGCCTACGAGGAACAGGTGTGTCCTGCAGGGGATGTGGCCAGGTGAATCATACAAATAAAAGCTACAAAGAAGGAGACGTGAAAACGCACTTATGAAAACAATTTGGATAAACACCGGTGCAACCAGCAAAGGCACATGGGACACCAGAAGATCCGGATCCCCTCTAACACATGCAGAGCTATGGTGATGGAGACCAGCGTGTCGCAGAGCCTGGCACTGTGCTCCAGAGTGAGGCAGCTCTGGACTTGAAGGCCTGGGTTTGAGTTCTGGGTCTGCCACTCGTCAGCTGCGTGACTGCCCGCCGGCCAGCGGCGCAGCTTCCTTGAGCCGTTGTTTCCTCGCCTGCAAGCCCACACCTACGCTCTCTCCACTCTTCTGCTGTGAGAGGCAGAGGAGACCACACTGAGGGGACACCCAGCCCAGCACATGCACTAATGTAAGTGAAAAGCTAGGCGTGGTGTGCACACCTGTGATCCCAGCCTTGGGGAGGCTGAGGCAGGAGGATCACTGTACATTCAAGGCCAAAAAGCAAGACAAGAACGGCTGCAGAGAGGGGGCTGCCTGGGGTGAAGCCACTTGGCCAAGGGAAAATGAATGAGTCCAGCTATGGTCCTCACCTCAGAAATCGCAGCACAAAGTTTACTTATTAAAAAAAGAAAAGAAAGAAAACAAAACAGAAACACCATTCTGCAGCCCTGATCTGCCAGCCAACAGCCAGGGGAAGGCAACCAAAGCACACTGCACTGTAAAGCCCAGTGAATCACCTTCAAAGACCAAACAGTATCAAACCCGCTAGGGAAGAAACAACACAGTCGCATATCAAATGTCCTAGCTGTCTCCGCCATGCAGACTGAGCTCCAAACGTGTACACACGCCCCTGCCCACGCAGACAGAAGTTTGCAAGCTTCATGTTTCAAGAGCTGAGCGTGCTACGTGACCAGACTCCACCTAGTGACTGCGCGGAACACGCATTACCGCCTTCGCTAAGACGACCCTGTGGGAAAACGGTTTCCACCTCGAGCCTCCAGAAGCTCTGTGACAGGAGAGGCCACTGCCGAAAGGCGATGAAATCCAGCCTGCCTGGGAGGCTGAGGCAGGAGGATCACCGTGAGTTTGAGGCCAGCCAGGGCTACATGGAGACCTTGTCTCAAGAACCAAACAAACAAAGATGCTAAAAGCCACTAACAGCCTACAGGTTCACTCCAAAGCTTCAGCCAGATAAAATTAAAAATTTCCCCAAACCAGCCACAAGAAGGAAACTTCTTGCAGAACTTCTCCCTTTTTTCTTGCTCTTCCTCTTTCCCCCAGTAACAGCTGACATCTGCTCCACCACGATCCACTACTTACCGCACAATGTGTTCAAAACATCTCTTAAGAACATTCAGCTTTATCAGCCACTTAAAACTAGTTTCAACATAAACTATACCTTGGTAAGTGTCTGTTCTTAAAATGAAATTATACAACTCTAATTCAACATGGCTAAGTATAAAAGACCTAAGGAAAAATGTGAAATAAACCAAGAAAACATAACTCAGGAAGAAAGTGAATGCAAACACTGAAAAGCACAGCTATCTGAAAACACATATGCATCAAAACAACTGATCAAAGAGATTCGGAAGTTTTCTTTTTGGTATTTTTGTGTGTTTGTTGTTTTTGTTTTTTGAGACAGGGTCTCAGTATGTAGTCAAGACTGACTTGGAACTCACTATGTAGGCCAGGCTGGTCTCAAACTCACAGGGATCCTCCTGCCTCAGCCTCCCGAGTACTGGGATTATAGGTGTGCATGACCACGTCCAGCCTGAGTTTTCTTTTTTAAATTAAAAAGGAAGACAACCTCCAAATTTTCCAAGAAGGGGCCCCATGGGTGTGGACTCATGGATGTCTACATAGCAGGTGCCCCGGGAAGCCAGGCAGCAGGAGGTTTCTGGGCCTCTGGAGAAGCCTCGTGATGGTCACGTGCTGTGAATTCAAAGCTTGGCTTCCAGCCTCTCGGAATGCAAGACCTACTTAATTTTGGCAAAACTTAGTTTTTTGGCTCACAGGGGAAAAAAAAAAAAATGCACGAGAAAGTGGTCCAACCCTCCTAATAGAGGATTCAACAGACAGAAAAAGGCAGGATGGAGACGCTGGGCAGGGGCAGACACAACACAGCCTGTAAGTCTGGGGGCCTTGAAGCCTTAACTGGGAGACAACTGAGACACAGACAATGTCCCGATTCCTGAACAGCAAGCTGGTTCACACATACGCCCAGTAAAGCAAAACATTTAATTTTCTCAAGCCATAAATATCTAGGGAAAATACAAAAACACGCACCCTAAATAGTCAAGGCTTCAAAATAAGAACTGACCAACCGTTCACGTCCCCAAAGTCTATGTCTCACCCCAAACAAACAAGCAGGGAGCCCAGGAGGGCAGAACCTTCTGGGCGGAAGCCTGCTCTGACTAGCGAGTTTCGCTTGGGCAGAGGTCGCCTGTCGTCAGGGAGTCTCGGGTCTCCATCTGTGGCCCCGAGTCCGGGCTCTCAGCTTGAACAGGATCTGCTGACACCCCTGACACCCCCCAGGTTCCCGACACGGAACTGCGTGGCCATCCCTGCCACCCCCACACGTGCACCCTCCTCGCCCTGCGTGCTCATCTGTCCCCGTATGTTCAAGTCAAAGGCCTGGGCGTCTCTCTTGTTAAACTACACGTGACCGTACATGAGGACGAAAGGGCAAGGACCCTGCAGTCTCCTGCCCGGTCCGACAGGCACGATGATACCAACACCGGCCCCACGGGCGGCTGGCTGGTTATCACAACGCAATAACCCGTCAGAGCCTCGAAACTGCCTGCACCCCACAGATCTCAGCCATGACCATCACTCTCCTGGGGACCCGGCTGTGGGACCTTGAATGTCCCCAAGGCCCACTTGTTGAGGGCTCAGTCGCCACCTGTGGCCATTGAGAAGTGGTGGAACCTTAGGGGTGGGGCCTGGTTGGAGGAAGCAGTCAGTGGGGGGACTCCAGAAAGGGGACCCCGGGACCCCGGCCCTGTCTGCTCCCCGGCACCACTTCTGGCCACCTGAGGTGAGCAGTTGACATCTGCCATGACGCACGGGCTCACTGTGGGTCCAGAGCAGCGGGCCAAGTGCCAGGGACCGAACACCCTGAAACCGGGAGCCAGAGTGAGCCTCGGCTGACTTCCGCAGGTGGCTGTGACAGCTCCAGAAAGGCGACTACAGAGCTCCTCGGGTGAGGCACTTCCAGTCAGGGCTGGACCGTGTCTGTGTCCCTGTCCAGGAGGAAGCTCCCTGTGACAAGGACGGACGCCGTCGCACACTGCAACGACGGCCAAGGGGACAACCAGTGATGACGCAGGGCTGAGGCGCTCCAATGACGACCGGACACGAGCCACGCGACCGCACCGCTCAAGGTGCGCTTAAGTCTTGCGCGATCACCGGCGGGAAGGAGACATAGGAGCCCACCCGGATTTGGGCGAAATCTACCACGCCGTGATGCTGTGACATGTAACACAATCCTATTTCTAAGAGGCTCACAAGTCTGCCCTCAGAAATTGACACACATGGCATTTTGAGCCTAAAAAGCTTCCTTTTTGCTGCTCAGCAAGTTATTTTCCATGGGTTTGCAAACCCGAGGTATTTTGTTCCTCAAAACAAAGCCACCAGCCCATCGCTCAGGGCTGTGGCTCCAGTCCTCGAGGGGAGGCCCTGAAAGCCACCCCTGCTCTCCCCGGTGACACCCAAGATGCTGGTGCAGAGGGAGACAAGGCTCAGGGCCCACACGTGGATCCACTCACTCAAGGGAAAAGGAGACTCAATGGTCCCCTTTCAGGCTGAATTAACAAAGAAAGTTCAAAGCAGTGAGATGTCCCTCTTGACTGGTTCTTGTTACAGGAAAATTACTCTTTCTCAAGGAAACAGACTGTCTTTGATTGTTTTTTTGAGATGAACAGAACTGAGAAAAAGAGTTCTGATTTTATTTCAAAATTTTAAACTGTTTTTGTTTTTTGAGTCTTGCTATGTAGTTCAGGCTAGCCTTGATCTCATTACTGAACTCATGGCGATCCTCCTGCCTCAGCCTCTCAAATGCTGGGATTACAGGCGTGCACCACTCGAGCCTCTTAAAATTTTAACTTATTTTTCTGGCTCTGACTTCTCATCCCCGGGGAAGGGCAGGCTTACCTGGGCCCCGTAGACTCGCTGCATGGCCTGCAGCAGTTCATTGGTATAGACAGTGAGAGTTCCGGCATCCTCTTCAAAGACACTCAGCAAAGAGCGGGTCTGTGGGAGAGGAGGAGGGCAGTCGGTTTACACACACACACACACACACACACACACACACACACACAGACACACACACACACACGTGTGTGTGCACAAATGAACAATGAGGCAAGGTGTCTGGGGTTTTCCAGTTTACTTCTTGCTTCCTTTGGAGCAGGGCCAGGCCGTGCAATGTGGATTCAACCCAGAGAAGGAGAAGCAGCTGTAAAAACCTTACAGTGGCTGGGGACAGGGCTCAGTGGTAGTGCGCCTGCCCATGCCAGGGCTGTGCAACGTCTGAGCCCCATCGATGCAAATAAAGGAGAGAGAGGGAGGGGGCTGAGGGGCCATCGTCTGCCTGACCTGCAGCCCCACCCATGCACCTGTGAAACTGGCCAATAAAACAGTCAGAGGGCGACCTCTCCCTGCACAGGCCAGAGGCCAGCGTCAGCTCCAGGAGTGGCCGTGGGGTGTAGTCAGCCCGGGCTCCCACTGCTGGGTCGGTGCAAGTGAGTGTCCTACTGAGCGTCCTAGTCCCTCTCCAGAGACCAGAGACCGCAGTCCAGATCCGCGGATTCCGCCATCCTTGATTCAGTGAACTCTCAGACTGGGGCCGCCGGCCAGGGCCCAGAACTCCAGGCGCCAGCCCCACCCTGCAGGAGGGCAGCTCACACATAGGTCCTGGGCCAGCGCTGAGCTCTGAGATGCGTGCATGGGGAAGCCGCACACGCAAGGTGTCCCCGAATTGAGAGGCGAGGGGGACACTCAGGACTGCCCAGCGCAGCAGGATCTCAGCCGCAGTATCGTGGACGGTGGGGTCCCTGGCTCCGCACGGCCCGAGGCATGGAAGTGGCAAAGGGGCCTTGGAGGAGGCAACACCAAAGTCCATGAGGGCGGGCGGCTCACGGCCACGACTCCAGTTCACCCTTCCTCTTCTGGCTGCTCTCTCAGTGGTAGTAAGGGGCCTGAGTGCCCCAATGTGGAGCAGCCCCAGCCTGGCACCTGCAGGACATCAATGGACCCCTGGTGTGGCCCTCACAGCAGCATGTGCGTCGGGCTAAGGCATCCTGAGACCCGACACCTCTCCAGGACCAGCCGGCACCAGTGCAGGAACCATAGATCGCATCTCAGTGATAGCAACTCAACAGCCCAGCACTCACGTGTGGGTGGCATTTGGGTCAGAAGAGTTCCCCAAACTTCCAAAATTAAAACGCATAGTTGGGTGCAGTGGTACATGCCTGTTGGGAGGCTGAGGCAGGAATTCCTCCAGTTCAAGGCCAGCCTCTGCTACCTAGTGAGATCTTATTTCAAAAACCAAAATTAAACTAAATTAAAATCCACAGTACAAAATACAGTTTATACCAGGGCCCAAACAAAAGCTTCACCAAACAATATCAATAGAAAGCATGCACAGTCTGATTTTTTCCTCTTCTAATCTATTCCATTCGCAAACAGAACTGACCGAGAGAACTGGATTTCACAATCCAGTCACAGATGACAGCCCACAGGGGAAAACGACACAGAGTTAGAATTGTTCAAGGCATCCCTTTCAAGTACACGTCTCCCTGAAGAACACATTATTGCAAAGAGATGTTCACACGCAGTGGGCAGTCTGTCACCCAGCACGGGCCACCAAGCCCGGGTCCCCACCTCCAGCCGCGATCTTTGGAAGAAATGCTGCTGGGAACATACGTCACTTACTCTTCAAAGCCACTCAAGTGGCTCTTTATATAAAATTTCTATTAAGACAGCGTCTTGATATGTAGCCCAGGTTGGCCTTGAACTCGCTGTGATCGTCCTGCCTCAGCCTCCCCAGCGCTGGGACTACAGGTGTGCGCCACCACACCCAGCTTCAAGTGGCTCTTTTTATTCTCAGTCCAAAGAGGGTGAAAATCTTGCCAAAGGCAACATTCAGGATCTGAACTCCATCCTTTCTCCGATACCCGGCCCAGTCCACAGTGCCTGTGGCAGAACGTTATGGTTCTTTACCTTAGAGTCAAAACAACCTGGGTGCCTCCCAGCCAGACAACCCGGACATTCTCCAGGGTGTGGGAGTGTGGAATGTTATTTTACAAAGTGTCAAGGCACAGAGCAAAGCACTAACAGCAGCAGGCCTGAGCTCCTGTCCCCGGCGTATCTCCGCAGGTCGAGTCGAGAGCGAGCTGTCCCTGTGTCCCTATCAACCCTTGGCCATACTGCACACGCTGTGCCGGAACCACGGCCGCCTTATCTGTGCCCAGCGGAGGCCCTGTGCCGGCCAGGGGCCGCTGTGCCTGATGGCGCTCCCAGGGGCAGTGCGGGGCAGAGACCCTAAAACCCCCGCCTGTCCCTGTGGGGGAGCAGAACGACCCACGCATGCACACACGCCAGCTCTCAACACGGCGCAAGCTACAGAGACAAAGGGAACAGCCGAGGTCTCTGATTCCACTCACTCCTCCCTGGTCATGCAGCTCAGATACAAAAGACTCTGAGTTCGTTCAGTTGTCCCGCACGGCCAGGTTACTGAAGCGACAATCCAGCTCCCACCTAGCACCAAGGACGCAAACGAAGGAGTTTTCTGAGGATCTCTTCCTCTCAGGGAAAAAGCAATGACAGAGGAGCCAGGGCGAGGTAACAGGGTAACTTCAGCGACCTCGCCTCCCTGACGTGCGGCCTGGGTTCGGGTCCTGCTGCTGGCACTTTGGTGTGTCCAATCTCGGAGGGTTACTTAGTCCTCCGCCCTCGGTCACTTCAGAGAGAACCCCAAGCAAGTCAAACAAGCCATGGGAGGTTTCTCGAGTTAGTATGATAAAGCTCTTGGAACAGAGGCTGGCACAGAATGGCAGGATCCAGGCATTCGCCATTGCTTTTATGCCTTCCTGATAAAATGAAGGATAAGGACTCGACTGTTTCCAGCTCCTGGCCTGACTCTCCAGTGTGAGTGCCACAAACACCCTGATGACATTAGAGATGAACGCACGACCAGCCTCCACTCTGCAGCAACCACACCGAAACCTCCAAGGGTGATAATCAAGTCCCAACACAGTGACAGATTCCCTTCATTAAAGGAACACTAAGCCGGGTGTGGTGGTGCACACCTGTAACCCCAGCAACACGGGAGGCTGAGGCTGCAGGAGTTCCAGGCCAGGATGGGCTATATAATGACTTCAAGGCCAGCCTGAACTGCGCAGTGAGGCCCTGTCTCAAATAAAGAAATTCAAGAAGCAAAATTTTAAAAGGAGCATTAAATAAGAATGGCAATGCCTCTAAACTTCTCTTCCCACACACAGGCTCAAGGTTATAAACCATGAGATACGACAGGACTTGAAGTTGCCAAGGCACCCGGAAGACCACCTCCTCCACGTTCCTATTCTGCAGAGGGTCTGCAGGTGAGAAAACCAAGAAACTGAGCTGGCCACAGGATGTGGGGTACATCACTTGCCCGAACCACACACTGAGGTAGTTAGAGCCCGCTGTCCTGACTCCTCTGCCAGTCCCCCTTTCCCTCACCGCCGAGCACACCCACTCCGAAGTACCGTCTGCTCGTGACAGGACTCAGTGTGTCAGCGAGGACAAGCAGAGGTCGGCGGAACTTCTGCCCCTGAGCTAGCTGTCACCGAGTCTGGCTAGGAAAGCAGTGTGTCTGTGCTCAGTGCCTCCAACCCAGAGCTCACCCCGAGCTGCTCTGAGGCTCAGACCTACTCAGTGGGGACCGTGACGGAAAAACTCTCCATCCTGGGCTTCGGTCTCATCCGAACACCCCAAGTCCAGAGCTGTATAAAATCAGCCTTTGAGAAGGCAGTCGGCCCGAAGGATCTCACATAAAACAGCAGCCACAGCTTGCTGAGTTTCCTGCTGTCCATGGGGGTGGAGAAAAGAAAGGACACGGGACACAGGTGACCACCCTTGTGGCTCTCTCTCCACAGAGGATGGGGACCGAGAGCAGGGAAGGATCAGAGGCGCCCCGGGCCAGGCCGTCCAGTCCAACCAGAAGGACAGGGAGGGACAGGAGGGACTCCGAGAGCAGTGTGGCTTAACCACACTCTGAGCTTTCAAGAGTTGAGACACTAGGGCACAGAGATGCTTAAACAGCCCAGGTACGCAGACCCAGCAGCAGCGAGGAGGCAGGGGAGCTGCTGAAGGCTCGCAGAGCCCCGGGGCAGCGGTCACTGCTTGCTCTTTGCTGTGTCTCCACTGCGCTCCCCGCCCAAGCTCACAAGACTCTGCCCACTCTGTTCTGATCTCTCCACACACGGCAAACAGTGCCAAAGGCAGGCCCAGGACGCCAGGGGAAAGGATCCAGCATTCTGCTTCCCTTCCTAGGCCCTAAATCCACCCCATCTCAGCACAGCAGCAGTGAGGGCAGTTACCATGGCGGTCAGACTGACCTCCTAACCTGATCCGCACTCCACAGGCACCTTCCCATCTACTTCTATCACGGACACAATATTATCCCTATTTTACAGCGGACAAAACCAAAGCACAGCCGGTTGGGATGGTGCACGACTGGAATCCCGGCACTCCAGGAGGCTGAGGCAGGAAGATCGCAAGGTCCAGCCCAGCCTGGACAACTTAGCGAGTCCAGTTTCAAAGTAAAACGGGCTAGGGATAGAGATCAGAGTGAAGGCCCGGTGTTCAATCCCTAGTATTGAGGAAAAAAGGCAGAAAAGGGTGACGTCCCTGCCCGGGGCACTTTCAGCTAAACCAGTCGGAGGGGCGATGACACCGTGCTGGGCCGCGGCGGCTTTCGGCCCCCAGATCTGCCCAGTTACGCGACGGCGCGGCAGCGGCGG